CACACACACACACACACACACACACACACACACACACACACACACACCCTAAACGTTCTCCACGACCCAAACCCACCCACTTACCCAAACAAGGATCTCTTTCAATCCCCTTGATACACACTAATAACACACAGTCATGCCACACACACACACACACACACACACACACATGCACACAAGTTGCAACTGAACTGTGTTGCTGGGAAAAGCTTTCTTTAGCATCTCTGGTCATTCAGTCACAAGTCTGACCTTAAAGAGCAGCTGTATGAACTGTTGCAACAGACATTTTTGGGCTTCAGCAGCGACTGGCTTAATAAGAGTCCTTATTTTTCCTATTGCTTCCCTTCCTTACCAATGAATAGATTGATGTTTCCAATAGTAAAGAGCTAGTGATAAACACAATGCAGAGGTGACCAAAGCTCAAGCCCATGTCTCAACTGCCAAACGGTAAGCAATGCACAAGGACATGAAAAGATGAACAGAACTTGAGGCGCTGCAGCTGCATTGGCAATCTTTCTCTGTGGTTAATGATGTGTAATTTGCCAGTTTATCCTCAGGAATAAGAAAAACACAACATGGACAAAGAATTGACCTCAGTAGGTGACGGCATATGAGAAACTGAATATGCGCTTGCCTGAGAGAGAAATTCAACAGAATACATGCTCCAAGTGAAGTGAAAGTGCACAAACATCAGCCGTCTGAGCTGTCTCTCTTTGTGAGCCACATTCACCTCTCTGACAGGTCAAGAGCTTCACTCTGAGCTCCGAGTTACTCCCGTGTTATCCAAGGAATGCCAGGCGGAGTGACCAGACCGACCAGGACACTCCCCAGCTGCCGTCCGCCTGACACCATCGGATGTCCTGTTCGCAGGAGTTGAGTTCCAGGTCAGCATGGATCCATGAGCAGAGACCTGATTCGACATTCTGGCCTGTCGAAACACGCTTGACATCCAGAGTAGTCAGCAGAATCCTGCACTCATTTGGACACAGAATACCACTTTACTGGTGTGGTTGACTATCATAAACTGGGCTATGAATAAATCGCTTGGGGGTGAAAAATTGAACTTCACCCAAACTACGATTTGTGCAGTTGGATTGAATCCCCATCATGTTGAAGGGGAAGGTTTTTAAGGCTGGGGTTGATGGCCTATACTTTCCCCGCCATGGCCTGGAGTTACCACTGACAGTTCAGCTGTGGAGAGACCCGGTGATTTATATTCCTGAGTTACACTGCAGAGATTCATGGCTAGCACTGGCAGTCAGCAGTGATGAGGGGGAAAGTGACGAGAGACTAAAGCAGTCGATGGACGAGACAACCGACATATAGAACATCCGGTGGTGGGTCACGAGGAAGCAAGAACACACATGCTAAATGATTCATGGAATAACACTTCTGATGAAATTTCATTTTCTGTTTACATTCTGATTGGAAAACAGGATTTCCAAGCATTTTATTAGCAAATCACACAGTATGTTTCTGTCACATATAATTAGATTTTAAAAAATGACATAGTTGAGACTGGGACATTATTTACATTATAAAACAAGCTGGTGACAAGAGGAAGATGTTTACAATTACTACTGACATTATATATAAAGGCAGTCATTGCTCACTATCTACAGAGCAAAACAGCTTTTCTGATTAATTACAATACATCACATAGCTGCAAGGCTAACATATGTACACCAACATCATGACAGTGCTTCATTTCCTTATGGTTAATTTATACATTTGTGTGCAGATGTGACACACAGAAATGTCAAATATAGAGCTGCAATTTACCTATTTTCACCATAGATCAAACATTTGATCAATGAAATAGTGAAAAATGTCCGTCTTGATTTCCTTAAGCCCAAGGGGACATCTTCAAATGTCTTGTTTAGTACCTGTTAGTAACTATTGATTGGAGGATAATAACTGATGCAAGCATCCGAAACAGTTGAATGAGCTCTATTTGTGGGTTTGGATTGGAATCGGACATATTCAGGCACACGGCATTGATCTGTGAGTAACGGTGCCAGGGGATCTCTCAAAAGAAGCTGCTGTGCACAGTTACATTTTGAGTGAACTAATCATGCTGAGGATAGAACTGGGAAAAAAAGCAGAGAGGTGAGGTGGTGAACCTGTGTGTATGTGCCATTAGAAGACTGAGAAGTGGGACGGTGTGGGACTAAATCATGTAGTCTGTGTGCATTTAAAAGAGGTACAAGATAAACCACCAAATGTTTTGAGTCATGACAGACAAAAACAGACCGAACACACTGAAGTTTCAAGTGATGTCTGTGAGCCTCCTGCAGGTTTGCTGACAGATCTCTGGTGTCTTAGATATTCAGGGAAAAGACAAAAAAATGAACTTCTACCCCATGTAACCATCTGTCGGTCAATTACAGACGGGTGACAAATTAAAAGAGAAACCTGCACACAGTGCAGAAACATAACGGATGCAGATGCTTCTATTCGAGGCTCTGAATAGTTTGACGAGTACGACAATGGTGTGAATCATATGCGACAGTTTGATCTTCACAGTCACAAGATCTCGAACCAATTCAACCCCATCGTGGGGACGTTTTGAACCAACATCACCAAAACACCAAATGAGGGAATATCTGTAAAGAACAAGAGTTTCAGAGAGTTGGATAATTTATGCGGAGGAGCACTGAAGGTGATCTCAATCAGATCAAAGTGACTTTATGTTTTAAAATCACAAAATAAAGACCAGTGTCATAGTAGCAGTCCAAATGAGAGCTAACATAAATATCTGATCATTCAAGTAAAAGGTGTTATAAGGGCTGAATGTGTTGTCATGACATGGCATGTTGCTGTACATTTCCAGCAATGTCTTGGATTAGAGAACGAGCATGCCTGCAGATAATTTAAAGAAACAATAAACGTGGTAGAAATAGAAATACAGTCTGTGTGACAGATTGCATGTGTATTTTCTGGGGAATTTTTCAGGTGCTTGTACAACTGCATGCTTGTGGTCAATGCTATGTCATAACTGATACACACATGCACAACAATGGGTCATTTTACAACCATGAAACACAGCGTAACACCAAAGTGTAACATAAACCCTGAAGGTACCAGACAGAGTGACGGCACGGCGACCAGCTTTCTTGTCACTCTAAGAGACATAAACATACTACGTCACGTACAGACAAATGTATGTAAATAACGTGAAACCCACACAAATACAAAGCATGCCTACACTAATGCATAAGTGGATGCATATGTATACAGTTTGAATCTATAAACACATACGCACACACACACACACACACACACAGGCTTATAATCAGAATACTCTGACATAGTATTTAAGTACCTCTGACATTTTCTGTGTTTTCTTAAATCCTTCTAGACATTTACCACTGATATGTTTTCTGATGTATAATGTACTGGGATAAGCAGAAGAGTGACTGAAATGGTGCCCTGAAACATTTGGGGATAAATATCACAAAACACGCTTTTGTGCAGAATTACTGCTCAATTAATCTAAAATCTTTGATTGACCCATGACAAGGTCCCAGATTCGTCTTTTTTATTAAACGGCGGATTTTTCAAAGAGAAACTCCACTAATGTTACATGTAAGCTTCAGTTAACTCGTCTTAGGAAGTGCGACTCTGCCTGTAAAATGTATTAGTATAAGGCTCTTAACTTTTAAAGCTTGACCCATAAAAGTCAGGATATCTCGGCCCCTGCTGCTTCAGTTTTGACCATTCGTTTCTTTTGAGTCCCCTATAGGCTGTACATAAGAAGTGGACGTAGTCACTGTGATGTCACCCATTGGTTTGTGGACTACAGTTTGGAAGCCTCGAGTTCGGCATTTTGGCCGTCGCCATCTTGGTTTTTTGCCACCAAAAATTAAAATGAAAGGGTGAAGCTATAAGTACAACCGAACGCTGAATAAGACATTTTTAGGCAACCAAAATGTTACAATGATCTTTCATGAACTGAAAACATACTGTGAAGGGTTTAAAGTTGACCGAACAATGCCGTGGAAGTGACCTCTCAATCACAGCCATGTTCTAAAGCTGCTTTATCACATGTTTTACTCTAAATGGGACAATAATTTCCATCACGCTGTCTTGAAAAAGACACTAGCGATTGAGACCATAAAGTCATATTTATTAAGATAATAAATCATGTGAAAACTAGGGGCATTTTCTCATAGACTTCTGTACAATTGGACTTCTTTTTGCAACCAGAGGAGTCGCCCCCCCGATGGCCGTTAGAAAGAATGCAAGTTTCAGGCCCTTCCGCATTGGCTTCACTTTTCAGACCTGGAGGTTGCTGCCTGCTCCCCTAATTTTATAGAAGTGACATATGACATTGCTAGAGTGCCCCATTCAAGGATAAATACGCTATCACCTCTTTTAGTGAGTGAGAAATTATAACATCAATAGATCTCTGTAGCACAGCCATCACTGAGCTTTTATACAAACATTGGTCACATTTTCTCAAAAAGCCAGCTAATCAGGACGGAGAATTGTTGAATAGTCATACTGCTTTTCCATCATATTTTTTAAGGAAAGGATGAAATGTCTTGTAGCAACAGATCATTTACAGCACTGTCTCTATTGATGAAAATACAATCAGACTGGGTGGATTGGACTGAAAGTGATGAAAGAAATTGGAGAAACAGAGGGGAGTGTGAGTTGAGGTCCAGAGACAGAAAAAGAAATTGAACACTTCGGTGGGAAAACCGCAGCACTACAAGTGACTTTGATCCGGGGTCAGTTTTATATTTCTCC